ATTATCAGCAGTGTTTTTCAGATGTGTATTTGTGTTCTGCTCTAGGGAAATCCTCTTCAGCAGTTTTTCAGTACCAGTGAAACACCTGTAAACATTCTTCCTTTAAGACAGAGCATATCAAGCAAGGGGAGGGAGGCAAAGGCTAGAGTGAAGCTGGAGCAATTAGAGCAGAAGGGGATCTCAAAGCATGTGAGTAGCCGTAGCATGGGTAGAGTACATCACAAAATGATAGTAAGAATATTGATTGTACATCAAGATTCATAAGGGTTGCCAGACTATTGTGAGTGCTTCAGCAAATTGTTGCCAAAAATGTGAGTTAGTGGACAGGCAAGAAATAAATGATATGTTTTAGGCTGTGGAAAGTATATCTGAGAGAGCATGATTTTGTAATGCCCTCTAAATGATCAGGAGTACCAGAAGAGAGGTAATCCTACTAACACTTCAGAACGGATCAATATGATAGTAATTCAGGAGAGATGTGGCCACCTGTTCTAAAACCGATGACAAATCACTGTCCATAGGTCACAAGAACTTTGGTATCCAAATGATTCATTGTCCAATTTTCTGTAAAAGTGGAAATAATTCTGGTAAGGAGACTTAGAGAAATAGGTTAGTGAAATAATCTAGAGCTGAGGTCTGGAACATGAAACTAACTCCGGCTGTATATTAATGCTGTACCTGTGTTTATTTTCCAACCTGTTTGTATGCCACTGCCATAATTTCCTAGCAGTATAACATTCTTCAGTCAGTCATGCTGACTCAGCCAGTCAGGCATTGTAGGCTGGAAAATGTTGTGCCTGACTCCAGTGAAAATATTCAGTGACAGATTCCTCTCTGGTGCTAACAGAGGCTTTAAACCACAAAGGCTTTGAAGTCTTTGCAAATTCCTTCTCAATATTTTTAACCTCATTTTCAGAGGTTTTTTCCAATACAGAACTGTTGATTGTGCAGCAAACTGAGTAATCTCAGTCTGTGTCTCTATACTGGAATCATTCGTCCTATTAGAGTTGCCAGACTGATGATGAATTCATTTTCTTAAATTCCTTCATATGCTTAGAAATCAATGTATTAAATGTATTAATAATTTTAAAAATTACTTTCACTGTTTATAATACTTATTGAAAATGGTGAACATTTGGTTGTAAATTTAGTTGTTTAGAATTAATTTGGTAAAATATTATTTGAAATAACATCTTGATGACTGTGTGGAAGTAAAAACATCAACAAAAAATTCAATTACAACTTAATAAATAAAATTAGGCACAGCCACATCCAAATATATAAATTATTTCTTGTGTAGTAAAAGTATCATCCTAGTGAACTGTAAAGTTCAAAAAAAGTTTCAATGTAAGAAATATGAGGTTAGAAAATTAGTGTTATTTTTTGGTTACACAATACTCTTTAAAATTTTCATCACAATTTTCTCTTTTTCTCTTTTCTCTTTGGATTTTTTTGGAAAGTAGACTGTTAAAAAAAGTTACTTTCAGTTTTTTTCCTATTATGCTGTACCTCCTTTGTTTCAGTGTCTTCTCTACTATTTGTTCTGTGAATCTTACTAAAACTCTCTGAAATGCTTTAAAGCCATAGTTGAGGAAGTTCCATGTATTAGTTTCAAACACATTTCCTGTTAAAAATATATTTCTTGTTCTAGTGCCTAGAGTTGCCAAACTAATCTACTACACTTCTATAAAATTTTTAAATGAAATTTAATGAACAAAAAATAATAAGTAATATAAGAAAATATACATGTTTTCAGTGAAAACTTGTTCCATACACCAGAACACACTTTTCAACTCATAATAGCCATTATTTTAATGTACAAGTCTTGTGTCACTGCAATTCAGGATTATTTCCATTAGAGTTCAAGATGTTACAGTACTGTAAAAAAAACAAGACATCCAATCTCAAACATTCAAAACACATTACCTGGCAAAAAATATATTAAAAATTATTAAGTTTTATTGTTTAAAAAGGTTTGAATCTTTAAGTAGTTATGTAGAATATCCATATGTCCCATCACATAGAGTGAAAATAGTGCTTTAATATCTCATTAAAAATTGCTTCCTTTTTAATGTAGATTTTTCATGGATATACCTTTTGTTCTAAATTTTATTTCTCAAGCTCTTGGTATCTGAGCATTGCAGGAGAAAGGCAGGAAAGTTTCCTCTGCATATTTTTAATAATTATTATGTGCAATAGTCTTTTTTACAAGTTTTTTCTACATTTCACAAGTAGAACAAAGTTCTTCAGTTACATTAAATATTGCAGATTCAGCAAGTGCAGAACAGAAAAAAGAAGAACTGTTGCACACTCAGAAAAACTTTTTTACTTTCTATTAATGGATAGTTCCAGAAAGCAACTCTAAGCCAGAGAAAATTCAGCTTGATACTTCAAGATTAGCTGTGTCTAGGTAGTCAGAGCAGCGAATGGATGAGACCAGAACTGAGGGGGAATCAGAATGTACCTGGCCAGATCTTTCTGTGATAAAAAATCAGCCAGAAGCAACTTTATAACACCGTTTTGCATATTAGAAATTGAGCATTCCTTATTGCACTTCATTTGCCAATCTGGGGATCCTTCCCCTAACTGAGTCCCCCAGCATCAGCTGAATGGAGTTTTTATCATGCACACCTGATTACATATTCATTATTCATGCCCTCTTACTTGATGTATATGTATTAATTTATTGTACATAGTCGCACTCCTTGTCAGAAGTCCTTGTGTGGTCTGTTGGGGTCTTCTTTGGTGATCTTTAGTGTCTGGCATCATAATATTTGAGGGGGTCATTCACTGACCCCAGTCCTTGAGTAAGATCAATGCTGTTGTTTTGTATGACTCCTGCTTTGTCAGCCTTGCAGAGCTGAGCTGGCATCCTGTTTGCTTCAGTTTCATCCTTTATCTGCTTTCCCAAGCCTGTGCTGTTCTGTTTTACTGTCCTTATCAACTGGAGCATTTTCAGTCCCAGTCCTAAGAAACATCCAAAGGCCAGCCAGTACTTATTCATGGTTAATTGAGTCCAATCCTCTTATAGTAAAGACATTTCAGTCTTCATGATGAAGGAAGAAGAATTTCTGGAAGAAATACAATGAATGAAATGTCATTATTTCTCCACACAGGGAAGAAGAGTTTGCCAGGGATTTGAGATTGTAAAGGGCAAGTATTAGCTGTGAGAGAAGAATCCAGAGGGCACAGTGCCTTGCTTGTGAGCCTAACTTTTCCCACAGAGCATGTGGGTAATGTTTTATGGGCTTGACCTGCTAAATTATCTACTCCTTTGCAAATTTTAAATAGTTTCAGGAGATAGTGACCTGAATACACTATGAGAGAAGCAAGATACTTTACTTGCTGCAATTTTTGTAGTGCTTTAAAACTGGGCTCTTCAATTTTGTGTGCATACTTTAACTGTTGAGCTACTGCATGGGAGAGAGGGGAGTTTTTTGTCATTGGCAAATTTAGTTTTTTCTTCTGTTTTGATTGATTTCTGCAAGTGACTTTTGCAGCCGGTGTGATACATCAAGGCTGTGGCAAATAGGATTGCAACTGACAATTTAGAAAAGGGAGAATTTCGTCCTGCCTTTCAGCAGAATGTAGATATGTTAGCATTGTCACTGGTTTTCTACCCTACCTGAAAATTCTTCACAGAAAACTTACCCTGGTTAATAAAGAAAGCCTATGGACAACTTCTCATCTGAGAACCTGGCAGAATCTTAGGAGGAAAAATACTCTGCAGGGCATGTTTTCAATTGTGTATAAATGAAGTCATGTATACTATGTGGGTGTCTGTGAGAAGTTTCGGATTAGTTCGTTTTCACCATCCCTTTGGAGGCTGTGCTGAGTCTAGCTGGGATGGAGTTGGCTTTCCTCATAGCAATCTTTTGCACCTGTGAGCAAAGCAGCACTGATAAACACAAATCATCTGGCTATTGCTGAACAGTCAAGGTTTAACTTTCCCCACTCTGCCACTCCAGTGAGGAGGCTGGGGATGCACAAGATTTTGGGAGGAGGCACAGACCAGATTACTCCAGCTGGCCAAAGGGATATTACATACCATATCGTGTTGTGCTCAGCAATAAAGCTGGAGACGAAGGTTTTTCTTGGAGGCAGTCCTTGTTTTTAGACTGGCTGAGTATCGGTCTTCATGTAGGGGGAGGAAATGAGTTCATCACTTGGCCTTGGTATGTGGTTTTTTTCGTGCTTTTCTCTTTCCTTCACTTCTTAGTCTTTAACTTGTTACATGAGTTATCTGACTTTCCTCTGCCTATTCTGTCCCCCAACACATTGGGGAGGGGAGTGAGTGAGGGGCCATATGGTGCTTAGGTACTGACTGGGGCTAATCCTTCACAGGATTTTCATTTATTTTTCAGAGAGAAAATAAGATGCATGATGGAGCCTGGTCAGCTCAGAGACTTAAAACAAAAGGGAGAGAACAATTTTGGTTTCCAACATCATTTTGGTCCATGTTACGGTGTTTTATTTAATCCTGCAATGCCTTGTGTAAATGCATGCAAGGTCTTTGAACTACAGAAGAGCAGTGGAGGCCATTTTATAAGGAAAGTGTTGTGCCTTACAGTCGCTTGAAGATCATTTCAATGTGAAGAATAGTCCCACTTAGATTTTCCCACATATTTAAATTTTCTCTGCTGCTGAGTGTTTTAAATGGGGATCTCACTCTGATCATGGCAACAGTTTTCAAGAGCAATTACCCAAAGGAGTTGTCAAGTCAAGACACTGTTTCATTAAATCTGAGCCTTGAGAGAGCGTTCTCCTCACCATCAAGAGAGAACTCAAGCACTGCTTTCAGCTTGGGTAACAAAGCACTATCTACAGATAGGCAGCAATTCAGACATCAGTATCTTGTCTTTGAACATCTCTGGTCAGCAAATTGCTTCATTAAATCGTTTTTCTGATGTTACTTACCATGGTCTCTTGCTACATATGACATTAAGCAATTTAAATCATATCATTTGGATCAAGCAAAAAAAACCCCAAAACCTAATGTGTGTGATATAAAATTTTAATTTAAATAAACAGAATTGCAATGATAAACATTAGTCCCAGAAAGAAATATGTAGCACTTACCAACTGTGGGATAGCATTACTAGAAGCAATAATCATTCATTGGTGAGTTAAATTCTTCCAACCTGAAAAAGATGAACTGAATTTTTGTGCTCAAATTTCACCTTTTATGAAATGAAGATGAATATCTTGCTTTACTGTATTTGAAGCATTTCTGTTTCATTTGTCACTGACGAATTCTCCTTCATTTCATAGAATATATTTTTCCTAATTTAAGACCAAAACCACAATTGAGCTAAGAAACGTTAGCTTGTTATTTATAGATACAAAAGGATGCTAAATACAAATAGCCATAAAAAAAGGAGGACATAACAAGTCTAGAGTCCTTCATCTCCTACTCTTTGTGTCTCCATCCCTTAACAGAGAGGATGTGTTTTTACATGCTGTGGTAGAACAGGAGAAAATACTGTACAGGTTTTGTTATTGCAGCTGGAATTTTTTTTTCTTTTTCACACTCATTGTCTGGTTTTTGCCTATGTAAGTTGGCAGAACATTAATTTGATGTTTGTTCATTCTGAAACATCTTATGCAAACCCAAACTACAGTTCTACACCTGTCCTCCTGTGTCCTATACTTTTTGGTCATGTTTGTAGTGTGAAGCTTCAGCTGCAGTCATTTACGCAGCAAGACAGACAACTGGGAACATAATGAATACACAGGGGGATAAAGATGCAATTTCAATGTAACCCAAACAATCTAAAGCAGCAGGGGCTGAAGGCAATGGGAGCATTCGAATAATATTAAATGTTTCCTCTGACCTCACTTGCTGCTCTGACAAAATGAGCTCCAAGGACAAAATTAAAAATATAACTATTTACTGCAGCCATATGACCAAATAATATAAGACAAGCTTTCAAGGCATATTTATTTGTGACCCCTCTTAATTTGATTTAATTTCCTCACCATACACCTTTTTGTGTTGCTTCTTGAATTGTCCTTTTTTATGGAGGCATACAATAGAAAAACGTACATTTGAGTGTAAATGCAGAGTATTCAACATTTGAAATAATAAATCCCTTCTAACATTACAACACATAGCAGGAGAGCAGTAGTCTGCATTCTAGAATAGTGGAGTAATACTGGCCCCATTTCTAGTCAGTCACTTCATTTTCCTGTCTCTTTTTCAGGTGTTCTTGGAACACGGGGATGTATTCAAGACAGCTAACAAATGAAACACATGCAAAAGAGGACATGTATTGTAGAGGTTATCTTCTTTATGCAGCAATGGTTTTTTTTGTGGTTGTTTTTATTTTTTTTTTTTAATATAGACTAAGCCAAACTGTGTCATCAACCCTAACAGCAGTGTTAGTGTCCCTGTTAAAGACAGAAAAGGGTAAGGTCTATATAAGGTGTGCAGTATTGAAGGAAATACATAAATTACAATGGTTAAAATCTGAGGGAAATAACAAAATATGCATGCATATAAGCATATGGTATGTAATAAATAGGATAAAACTTTTTATCTATGTGATCTGGAAAATTAGAACTGAAGGAATGTTGATATGAAGATCAAGTAAATTTACAATAAAATCATAATAGGAAAATACGTCAGTCAAACTTGGGTAGTAAACTTTACCCAGCACTGGCAGAAGCTGAGATCCCTGCAAAACAACCAAGAAACCAACCATGTTATATGACTTACCAGATGCCATTCAAGAAGACACTCAGCCAGATATGATTCCTGTGTATTAAGCAACCCACAAACTATCAGTTTTCCAGGATTTTTGTCAAGCCTCTTTTTCAACCTGTCTAAAGTCTGAGCCTCCATGACTCTCTCAGCTAGTCATTACATGAAGAACCACATCTGTTTTTATTTTTAATTTCACCCTTACATTTACTTGTTTCATGTGATGCCCCTTACATCTTGAACCGGAAATTACAGTAAATAATTTATCCCTCTCCACCCTATCCTCATTGCTATTCTATTGCTTCACTCCTACCTCAGCTGTCTCACTGAAACAAATCATATTTACTGTGGACGGAGCTTTGAGAAACCTGATCTAGTGGGAGGGGTCCCTGCCCATGTCAGGGGGTTGGAACTAAGATTTTTAAGGTCCCTTTCCAACACCAACCATTGTGTTATTCTATGGTTCTACTCTGCTTATGTAGTTAGGCCCCGAGTGCTATTGAGCTTGCTCAAGCTAAGGAGTCCAAGTGTGATTTTATCACAAGTCATAAAATGGATGAGGATGGAAGATACCTCTGGAGATTATCTAGTCCAGCCTCCCTGCCTATAGCAGGGTCAATTACAGCAGGTCTCTCGGGAAAAAATCCAGTTGGGTTTTGAAGATCTTCAAGGCTGGATACATGAAAACTTCTCTGACAGCCTGACAATAAAAGCACCCTTTTTCTTGCATTTTAATGGAATTTCATGCATTTCAATTTAAGTTTATTAACACTTGTCCTGTCACTGGGCACCACTAGGAACACCTTGCTCCACCTTGTTTACTTCCATCCATCAGGTACTTATACACATTGACAAGATTTCCCTGAGTCCTGGGAAGCAATTTGTTTGGAAAAACAGGCATGAAAGTAAGATTAAAAAAAAAATTACCTGAGAATTTTAGTTGAAAAATAAAGTTGAATAAAAGAAGCCTATGAATTAAATAAATAGGTTAAAAAACATTCCAAAGTCCCACCAAAAAGCTCCAGGTACTTTTCTTAGTTTTGCTCGAAATAGCAATGGCTGCTGGTCTTCTGACTACTTATCTGATTCTTGATTTAAATAAGAACAGAAAAGGATTATTGTTATTATAGATTTTCCATTACAAAAAGTTTGTGAATGAGTGTAATATAAAATTTGATTTTCATTCACACTTAAATGTCACCTCAGTAGAGTTATTATTGGGGGTCATTTCATTATTTGCTTTCATTAGGTTTTTCAAAGATCAAATATGTTTTTAAACACACAGGATTTGAATGTCTTTGCTAATAACATTCATAATAATAAAAATAATAATATAACTGCAAAAACAGTACAACCCCAAATTTCAACAAGTAAAATGCAGTCACTAATGTAATATTATATGCCTTTAACCCAGCAAATTATTACCTTTTATTCCTGTATTCATTCAGTAGAGATCTGTCATTCCATAGCAACACAGTCTTAACTCTCATATCAATGATGGAGGTAAATCTAATATGAGTATATCATCTGCAGAACCAAATTTTTAGCAGTATAAAATAAGGATATGGAAATCTTATTGTCAAGGCAAGAATATTTTGAAGGCAATCTCTAGAACAATATTATTAGTAAACTATTGAGTCATTTATTGGTCTTTGCTTTATAATGAACTCCGTTTCCAAAACCTAGAGTAAATCAGTAGTAACTGTGATTGTATTTCTAACAGTGAAATTTAGCCAATATATAAAATAAGTAAAAATAATGAAAGTATAAAATATTCAACCATATCTTTTTGTGCAGAAGACATAATCTACTGCCATTGCTTTCCAAATCCTTGCTCTTTGACTCACTGTCATTTTTGCAGATCTGTGTTACAAGAATAGCAGTAATTTCAGATTTGCGTGGTAGAGGTCTTAAACCCAAATATTTATAATTTTTTATATTCTGCCTCCACAGAGAAATTGTATGAACTTCCCTAAGTATTGACAATTTCAGTTTCCTTGAGAGGGCAGGGAAGATTTTCGTTCTTCCCTGAAATTCCTTTCAGATGTTCTATTATACATTTGTCTTCAATTCTGTACATCTATGCTTTAAGTTTAATAGTTGGCTTTCCTTAGATACTTCCACTCTTAGGTGAATGCTTTATTTCAGCACCAATAGTGTATGTCATAAATATTTGACTTAAAAAGTGGATTTTTTTTTTTGTGCCAGTGAAGTATTTCAATTACTTCATATGCAGAAAGTGTTTTACAGAATGTTGTGATTTGCAGGGGGTGCACTGATGGGACATTTGAGATGATGCTAAATGTGTATGCACTAGTACCCTATTTTTGGAAATTAAAACAAAAACATTCTCTCAATTCTGTGCCTTTTATACATTTTCTTAGCTTCTTGACACTCTGACAGTTTTTGCGTTTTTGACAGTAAGAGAGACATCCACTTCAACATCTTGACTCTGCAAGGTTTGTTTTAAGATATAGTGTGTAAAACCAGAAGAAATTAACTGATACAATTTACATGTGCACTGGGGCTCCCTAATCCTACTAACTTCATGTCATCTCAGATGACTTGATCTATTTTAATTCTTGTAAATTTCATGTTTCTTTAATTATCATTAAAAAAATAAGATGTTAAAAACCTGACAAATATTTTCTAGAAAGGGAGTGAAAGAACATGGAATTAAACACAAGTTTCCTGAATGCCAAGCTATGAATAAATGAAAAGCAATTCATTTTCTTAGTTCTACGGAACTGTTTACCAAAAATACCCCTATTATGTTAAAAATGTTTGATCACTTTTCAAAAATGGTCTTCGAACATTTTAATTATATATTTTTAGGGCACTTTTGTAAGTAATTGCATTATTTTTCTAAAATCTTCCTGGATGTGTATTAATTATGTGATAGCAACATCTCAGCTACAAATACCTTAAATGTCAAAAATATACACTTGATATTCAATTTTGGTATTGATTTAACATACATCCACTCACTGTCACATACAGATTGTGTGTAGAGCATGTTAAAGATTATGTTTTCTGGCTACTCAATTTGGAAGTCAGGCTCACATATAGACTGTCCAGCTTAGAAAGAAATGCCTACCTATTCAAGACAACTGCTGTTCAGCCAGTGTGAGCTACAAATACAGAGAATTTCCTCGGGAGTGAGCATGCCTCACGGTGTCAAAAAAGTCAAACACTGGTCTCACTTATGGTGATTTTACTAGTGAAAGGCATATAAAGGACTAACACAGTTGCTAAGAGCAAGGCAGATGTGGCTACAGATGTGCATTTTCAGACTGCACATCTGAAAATGATCAGAGTCAGAGGTATGTTTTAGTTGTGACAACAGGGTAGGAAGAATTACCATGCACACGCTACATGAGGAAGCTTTGCTCATTAGTTGTGACTCTTGTATGAATCAAATCTCAGTTGTGAGTAATAGAAAATATAAATATTTCTTCTTTTATCCAGTGTTCTGCTTTAGGCCCATTGTGCAGTATCAAGTTGGTTTTGATATATTGTCAAGATGTGTGAAAATTTAAAACAATCTTCCACATGAAAACTTCTGTGCCATCAAATGAGCTCCATCACTTCCTCTGCTGTTCTGACCCATAAGGAGAGAGCTTTTATTGATTTAGTCTGTCTTTAGGAAATGCAGGATAACTTTCCTGAAAACAATAAAAAACACAACATTTCCTTGTTGCCATTGGCTGTGTCTCTTCCTCAGCACACTGCTGGGAGAAGCTATGCCAATTGTGCTTTTGATGCAGCCCTGTCCAATTGTACTGAATGATCCAAAACTCATCTATAATGTGTTTCCAAGTCTTATTGAGAGATTAAGTTATATAATGTTGAAATACATTTACATTTCCCCCAGAGGGTAAAGGGAAACTTACGCACATTAATATCAGATGTGTGAGCTAAGTATATCTGATAGTTATTAATTCTTTAGCTGTACAAAAGGTAAGCTATAGACCTGAGGTGAACAAAAGACTTCTGGTTCAAGAGAGACTCAGGCTGACCTTGGCAGTGCCATTAATCATGAGTAGAGCTCAAACAGATTGTATAGCACTGCAGAGACTCTGGGAGGAGAATAAAAGGATATATGCACTTTGGGAGCCATAAACCATTGTCTTACAAAATGTCCATGCCTTAGATCATCAGAAAAAAGTCACATAAAATAGTTTTGCAAGACATTTTCCAGGACGTAATGCCTTGTGCATATCTGAACTTCTGCCATCTGCACAGATACATTTAGGCATGCGTATGTACATAAAGAGTAAACAAAAATGCAGGTTTATATATTTATTCTGCTTCTGTTTAAATTTTGTCAAGAACAAAATTAAGAAAATGTCCAACCTCAAAAGTTTTTCTCAAATGTTTCCTGTGGGTGTGGCAGTGAAATATGGAAATATGCTGAACTGCAGCAGATCATCAATGTAAAAATAACTATATTTATAACATATATGCTTATGGTGACTACAGAGTAACAATCTAAATGCAAAGAAGAGTGGTGTGGAGTTATTTACATGTATTTCTTTAGTGATATTTATAATGGAAGAGGTGTCTTTTTACTGAAAATACAGTAATAATCTTTTAAAACCCTCTCCATTTTTATGTTCTAATAATAGTCTCATTTCAAAAGAAGCAGGAGAGACAAGGGAAATTTCCTTCACATCAAGGAATAGCTGCTTTCATCTTTTTATTATTTTGGAAAAATGTAGTATTTGTATGAACATTTTAAATATTCACCGATGTATGTTAAGATCTTTTCCTTTTTAATTTGGGCTTTACATCTTCAAAGTGAGCAATAGCATTTTAAATTTAAATTCTCAGTGAAACTTAGGGAGAGGAAATATGATGTCTTGACATATTATTTTCTTTAAAAAAAGACAACAAATATAACCCCCAAACACAATGTACACACCCCCCTCCTCCCGCACAGTTCTAGTCATTAGATACTCCAGGAAGTGATCTCCATTTTTTTCTAAAAGAAGTCAGCATGTTGCTATTGCTTCTTGTCTTAAAGTTCATGTTTGATTTACCATTCAGTTTTGTAACACCATCACAGCAGACAGCTTACCACTTAAATGATAAAAGTTTCAATAGGCACTTTAGTGGAATTACGAAAAAGCTACCACTCTTCCACCATGATGCCAGAAAGCTACCTTCTTTCTAAGTCAGGTCAGTAAACTGCACCTTGTAGGCCTGAGCTTGTCTCAGTGTAATTCCAGAGTAACAAAATAACAACAACAAAAACCTGTGTATGTTACAGGATTTATCATTCTTTCTCAAATCAAACCAAAGCTGACGGTATGATAAATGTAGTAACTTGCTGGAAACAATTGCTGTCTTTTATAATCAAAGTAATTGTGTCGTATATAAAGCTTAGGTTTATCTTTTAAATTTGTTGTTGGTTTGCTTTTCATTTTGTTTCACTGTTGTAGTTGTACTTAAGTGACTTTGTCAGGGTTATAACCTTCTTCTCCAAACATATCTGCCAAGATCTTAAAGCGAGGTCCCCAGTCACTCAGATAGTCATAATCCTGATCTGCCTCTGTTGTGAGGGAGTCTATAGAGCTGAGAGACTCTGCAACAGATCCATTTCCTTCATAAGCGTACGTTGCCAAGGAGTCATAAGGGGGTGCAGATGGATCTACATCATTTTCCTGCAGCCTTTGATTAATGAAATCTCTTATGTCTGTGTTATCTTCTGCTGGTGGTCTGTGGCGCGTAAAACGCAAGGTGTCTGGTTTTATGTCCCTGCGTATTTTATTATCTTCAATCACTTTGGGATTCCTCAGGGCACCTATGTCAAAAGCCTGGGTGTCCTCTTCTCCACCTCCTTCATCATCATAATGGATAACATTATCTCTGATGTCTTCTTTAGAGGTCATCAGGGTGTCTTTCTTCTTCTGCCTCCGTAGTGCTACATACAGTACTACAATAACTGTAATGAGAGACAACTGAAGTTAAGACATGCAGAGAAATAATTTGGTACTCTGACGACACATCATTATATCTTTCTTTGAAAGCCACAAGCAATCAAAGGGACTTTTGTCCTTAGAAAAGAGCAGTGCTTAGCAGTGCTGTAGCCAATGAAAAATTATATGTTCTTTGACATATGAATCTAACTTTCTTAAGTGATTGCTGTACTGCTGGAGGAAGTATCAAATAATTTTCCTGCTGGCCTGCTCTACAAACTAATTGAATTGAAAAGAACTTCAGGTTTTTAGTTCAGAGAGACATTTAAAAATATTTACAAAAAATATCTTGCATAGAAAAATAGAGAAAAGAACCCTAAATTTCCACTTTGAAGACAAGAATAAAAAACTAAACCAAAACCTCAACCCAAAGAGTATTACAGAAAAAAAAAAATTGGAATTTTGAATAATAAAAATTTTGAATCATTTCAAATTTTGACTTTTTGGAATACAGAAAAAAAAATCCTGCTGTATATTTTTATGCAGTATACTTCAGCCTCTTCAGGGATCTGCTTCAAAAAATTACTTGTTATAAGGTTCTGGGAAGAAGAGGGGTCTAGGAGAGCTGGTTGGTTTTCAAGTATCATGTCCTCCAAACTTAATAATGATCCAACCTGAGGAGCAGGAAATCAAGAAAAGGCAGCAGAAAGCCTGCAATGATGAATAAGAAGCTCTTATTTAAACTCAGTGATAAAAAAGAGGCATCTAAGAGTTGAAAACAGCGACAGGTGAGCCAGGAGAAATATGCAGTGACAGCCTGAACACGCAGGAATGCAGTAAGGAAAGACAAAGCCCACATGGTGCTGTCTCCGGAGGTACACGAAAGGCAGCAAGAAGGGCTAGTACAAGTAAGACAGAAAGAAAGGGTAGAAAGGTAAAGGTGGGCCCATTGCTGAATGGGGCAGGGGAGCTGTTGCCAAATTACATGGAAAAGGCCATGTAATTTAGTTAGCCAGCAACTTCTTTGACTTTTTTTTTTTTTGTAAAGTTCTCCTTCAGTAATTTCATGTCTCTGAGACCAGAAGGAAGAAAGATGACCTAATCCTTGGTGGAAGAGGATCAGGTTAGAAAATACTTGAACAAACTGGAAACACAAGAGCATGGGATATGGTGAGATACAGATATGAATGATGAGGAAGGTGGCTGCTATCATTGTGAGGCTATTTGTGATAATTTCTGAAAGGTCCTGGTGACTGGGAAAGGTTTCTGACAACTGGAGCAAGTGTCACTCCTATCTTCAAGTAGGGCAAGTAGAATGAGTTAGGGAACTAGAGCAGCCAGTCTCACCTTGATTTTTAGGAAAATTATGGAGAAAATAATTCTGGAAACTAAGAAGGGGCATAAGAGTAACAGGGATGGATTTATGAAGATGAAATTGTGCTTAACTCACTTGATAGCCTTCTACAATAAGGTGACTGGTTGATGAAGGGAGAAAAGTGCAATAATTTTATCCTAACTCTAGCAAAGCTTTTGATATTGTCTTTCATAACAATCTTCTCAGAAAACCTGAAAGTGAGGACTATCCAAGCAGAGGGTGAGGTGGATTGCAAAGCTGCCGAACTGCCAGACTGTAAAGGTTGTGAACAATATTTCAAAGACCAGATTGAGGCCAGTCTCTAATAAAGTACCACAGGATTTGGTTCTGGGACTACTTTTGCTTAATACTTTCATAAATATCCTGGATGGTGGGATTGAGTGCACCCTCAGCAAATTTTCAGGCAATAAAAAAGAGTTGTTTTGCCACTGTTCAAAGGGATCTCATCAGGCTGAGGGAGTGGGCCAAAAGAAACTCGATGATGTTCAACAAAAAGAAATTCCAAGTCCCCCACACAGAGAGGAGTGACTGCCTACTGAAGATGCTGTTGGCCAACTGACCAGAAAGCTGCTTGATGGATGAGGCCTTGCGATCCTGGCGGACAACAAGCTCACCATGAGCCATCAACGTGCCCTTGTATCAAAGCAGATCAACAGCATTTGGGACTGCATTAGGAGAAACACTGCTAGCAGGTCTAGTGAGATAGTTATTGCCCTCTGCTTATGCAGGTTTGGAGTTCCGGGCCCAGTTCTGGGCTCCTCACTAAAAGATGGACATGGACTCCCTGAAGTGAGGCCAATGTAGGCCCACAAAGATGATTAAGGGATGGGACCACCTGCCACACAAGCAGAAGCTAAGAGAGCCAGGTCTGCTCCTTTTGGAGAAGGCACAGAAGGATCTTACCAATGTGCATAAATACCTGATGGATGAAAGTAAACTGAGACAGGTTTTTCTGAGGGGTGTCCTGTCACAGGAGAAGAGGCAATGGGCACAAAATGAAATGTGGAAAAGTCCATTAAAATGTTAGAAATAAAAGGTTTCTTTATCACCAGGATGTCAAGCAGTAGAATATTTTGCACAGAGATGTTGTGGGGTATTCATCCTGCTCTAACTGGAATTGTGTCAAAGGAGACAGCATTCTTCTTGCTTCAAAATACTGACACAAGTTATTTGGTTTACTTAGTCTTTGGTTTTGTTTTAAATTCTTCAGAATGAGTATATTTGTGAACTTAATTGCTGCTCTATGGGAAGAGTGACCATTTGCCATTCTTGTTCTGATTTGAAATAATATCTTTTCTCACAACATTACTTTTTGACACAGAGCAGAAATCCTGACTTATACCCACTATTACTCAGAAGCTATTTATGCAATCCCGAGTCTTTAGTAATTTACTTAAGTGGTACCTACATCATCCAAATGCAATGAGGTATTCACATGTTATATACTCTGTGTCACGATCTATTTTGGGGTATACATTAGATTATCACGTGACCTTGGAAGCCATTAGTATCAAAACAAGGCATAGGCCAACATCTGTAAGACTCAGTCTGATTTCTGAAGCCCACATGGTGCCTGTATAAGCTTTAAGGTTGATTTTATTTCATTAGCAGTTGCTTCAGGCTATATTCCAAGTAAGATGCACTTTGGATAGGCTGTTAATAAGAGTACATAAATATAAGTTAGAACAAATAATAACGCCATCTTATGAAATCAATGCCTGCCTAAAATCAAAAAGCTTCCTGTGAAGCTTTAAATAGATGTGGCCAGTAACAGTCTGTTACAATTACTTTCTCCTCTTCCACTTCTTCATTCTTCTTTTGCTTAAATGAGCATGAAGAATTAAATAAAAGCTCTTACTATGTTCTTACTGCTGTTACTGTCAGTAGGACTTCTCTACCTCAGTAATAATCTAAAAAATGGATATTTTAATAAAGATATTGAAAATAATTTCAGAGAAAAAATATTATTTGGGTTCCTCTGAAAACTAATGTATTAAGTGATATTGCATGGACTAGCAGATTCATGGTCATGAGCAGTGTTTTGGGGTATTCTTCTAGAAATAAAGTGCTGCACATTTTCTATGGCTTTTGTTAAAAACTAGGGGAAGCTAGTGAATAATCACAGTAAAGCACTTTGCAGGGTTTCATGAGAACTAACCTAGAAGTATAACAATACACAGCAAGATTGCAATCAAAGCTCCTGTGCTGAGGCCGACTGGTAAGAAGATTGCTTCCACATTGCAGGACTGGATGGTGCCATCAGAATCACATCTGCAAACACGGATGGTCAGAGTGTTTGTGCTGCTCTGGACAGGGTAACTGCTGTCTTCAATTACTATTGGAAGAAAGTACAGCTCTTGCTGCCTTCTGCTGTAGCCATTTCTCCTGGTTTCAATCCCAGCTGTGTTGTCTGTAAAACATGACAGTCATTAGCAGATTTTTGTTGTGTATTTCACTCCATATTTTAGCTTATATCACCTTCAGTAATAGGCTGGTATTTCATATATGAACCTTGGTGAATTACATGCATTACATAAATGTCTTGCTTTGCCATTAGAGAAGGCATTGTATTCTGACTGGTACAGTTATTTTTTTCAGAGCCTGAAACAATTTTCCTTTTCTTGTAAACCTTTTTACAGCTGAAATTTCAAAGAAGACAAAAATATAAAAAAAAACAACAAACAAAACATTAAAAGTGTGCTTCTGAAGACTTTTCAGTTTTTTCACCTGATCTCCTTATATTCTAAGCCTGTGGTCCAAAGGATTTTGATTTGGTATGAATTTAGAATCATGTCTGAGTCAAAAACTTAATTTCCTTAAAAATACAAAAAAATACACCTGGACAATATGCAATCATTTTAGCCTTCCTTCCCCATTAAAAATAACTAGAGAAATTAACTGAGTACTAAAAATTCAGTACAGTTTCCATCAATTAATCCACTTCTAGATTTTGTTGTTGCTTCACAGTCGGTTATTGATGCTTTTCTGAATCAAAGTAGCAAGCAATTGATGTAAAGATGAAAATAATTACATTAAAAACAAAACTAAAATTAATTTGGCAGGGAATTAATGAGATGACAGAGCTAAATGAAAGTAAACTGCTGCAATTACCATTTTTCCATCTCGCATATATTTTTAATTATATTTTTTACAAGATGTCACATGATGGTTTTCATGCCTTAAAGGTTTGATACAAGGTAGAAGGATTAAGGGTGCTGAATTTCACACTCAAATACTGGTATGGAGTTCTGATTAAGGACAATTAGACAGAACCGTAAATGTCCAAAATTAGATATGTTATGATTAGATGCCATTGAGAAGGTGCATAGATCAAAAGAATACTTCAGACACCTCCTTTTCATCAAACTCAAACATGGACAGGTCAAGTTCAGTTACACTTAGTTTTGAAAAGGAAAAAATATCTCAGAATAGTTTGAATCAAACCAGCTTCCATCTTCAGCTTTTTATTTCTCTCTATAATCACTTGCACTATATAAAAAGTTAAGGAACTAATTTGAAGACATTCAGTTAAATCTTATTTCTATTATTTTTCCATATTTCTATTATTAGAATTATTTATATTCTTTTATTTTTTCTTCTAATTGAAACACTGAAGATCACTTTAAAAGCTTACAATGCAACTAAATGATTTTCCATCCTCCTTTGAGAAGAATCAATCAGATAAACCTCTTATCTCCTTGGTTTTGAACAGTTTTTGTTGCTCTTTTGTGACCCCTTTCAATTGTTCATAGTTCTTTTGAAAACATGAACACAGGTAGGTGTTTGAACTCTACACAGGAGAGTCTAGAGAAGCTGAGATAGCTTCTGGTTCTTCAATCTGTTGGCAATAAATTAATTTATAGGCTATGTGTGAGAAAAGGAAATTCTGTCTCTCACATGAGCAATGGAGTGTACTCCACATGGACGCTTTCCTCCAGAGACCAGAGGGAGGCCAGTAAAGCAGGAAGAAGGAGATCTGCACTCCCTTTGGAAGAACTTCAGCTCTGCCAGGGCATCACTTCTATTAACAATTAACACAGTGGATTGATCTCAGGGCTGCTGAAAGGCAACCTTGAGCTTCTGTCTCACTCCAGAACTCATTAAGTTATATTCTGAAGTTTGGGGCCTGGCTTCTCTTGGGTGCAGCACGAGAATACCTGCTGAAGTTACACCTGCTGAAGTATCAGACCACCCATGATTTTCAGTTGTATAGAATAGCGCAGGCATTAGGGCTTCTTGATATATTTAAACATTTTAAATGCTACCTTTACTTGTAAAAGCATTAATTGTACTACAGTGAACAACACTGTGTCCTCAAAAAAATAGAAAAAAAATTGCTTTCACAAAGTACCTGCTTGTTACTAACATAATTTCTAACCTAAAAGAAAATGGTACTTGTCTTTAAAAGGTTTCTCCAGTGAAAATAAGGTTGTGTTACTACACCTCTAAATGGTGCACAGAACAGACCTTTCTCCACCTTTTTTGACAAACAAAAGGCAGATGAAATTGCAAGACAGGGTTTTTGTTTGGACAGATTTTTTCCTAATATCTTTGCAAATCATCAATAATGAAAAAAGGTTTTTATGGGGTTTTTTTGTTCCTTACATTCAAACAAATTGCATACTTCTTTTTTATTTTTCTTTTTGTTTCTAAGTGTTAAGAAATGCTTTTAAAATTTTATATCTTGGTGGTTTCCACTTTTTATCAGAATATTGCATTTGTTTTTATACAGTAATGAAACTATATTAACAGATTACTGAGATCCAAATCATTTCAGTGTCAACATTACTGGTTTAAACAGGGAAATTTAATTATCTAATAATATTTGAACAATTTCCTCACCAACCTCACATGCTTTTTGCAAAAGCTCTAATTATCATATAGACTTACTAAGTTTAAAAATTATTTTGATGAATTAAATCTGTTAAAATTACCTGAGAAGACTTCTTTTTAAAGCAGAAGTTCGTAATTATTATTTTAATAAACAAAAAAAACCCCATAATCCTTGTTGAAGGATATTTTAAGAAAAGGAGATGAAAAAAATAAGTTAAAGCTTTTACTTTAAAGAAATATTTATAAAAAAAATAAATTAAAGGTATTTAGAAATACATAGTATTTATGTTCTAAGACTATATAATTGTGAAGATTCTTCCCATATGGGCCTTAAAATATGTTCCAAAACAAAGTAATGCCCTAATCTTCCAAGAACAGAAGTAAGGGAACATGGATCTGTTGTAAAGTCATCCTTCATATTCATTGAGCTCTCTGTCTCAAGAAAACTGTTTGAATGCCATTTGATGAAATGTGTTAGATCTACATAGTTTTGGTTTTATAAGATACTATTATTCATGTCTACAATATTATGAATGGTTTCACTATATTCTCTATTTAAGAATCCTTAAGTGAAGTTCTTGGCTCATCAGTTCAGTCTTTTTAACTACCTGTGACAAAGATAAAAGTCACTATTTAGTTTGGGAATAAACCATTCTCATTGTATCAGCCTCATAGCAGAGCTATACATAAAGAGAAACGAGGCACATTTTGTTTTTTCAAATTTATTTCTTCCTGAAGTTTCTTAATGATTAATAGTGGTTACTTTATGTAGTTGGCTTAAGTTTTCTTTTACATAACAATGTCAATAGTGCATGGCTTCAAAAGTTATGTAGACCATATACATAATTTAAATACATTTTTTTAAAGGTTGAAATAAAGGCTTTCATAATTTTATTTCAATTGTTCTATTATTAATTTCTAGCATTTTTAAGGGCTTGGGTCACTTAATT